TAACACGTCGATAAAATAAAAATCTTTATTTTCATTTAGAGTGCTAAAGTAACTAAAGTCAATTGTATTATCACAATCTTCATTGAAAAGCTTAGCAGTATCTCATCCACCTTTGTTGAACATCCTCTTATAAAAAAACACTTTTTGATCTTCATCTTTAATGCACTTCACTTAAACTAAATCCTTATTGCTCATATCTCTTTGTTGAGCTAGCTTATACATATACCTTTCGCCATCTTTAGTATCTAATCTATTATATAAATCATCAAAAGCTAAAATCTTTGCATTGCATATTACTTTTTTAGACTCCTCCTTACGGACAACTTTATATATTTCTCAATTTTCATAGTTTTTACATCTAAATCAATTATTATAACAAAGTTTCTTATTTTTTCTTGCACATTTTGATTCAACTACCAACTATTATTATTATTAGGAGCTTTTCCTATTGAAACTCCAAGCACATTGCAACATTCTTAATATTACTAACTACTTTATCTCACATAATATTCGCTTCCTCATGCACAGATAAAATCTTAAGATCTCGAATCCTACTTTAAAAAATATTTTTGTTTGTATTTTTTAAAAGTCACCATCTAATCTTAGAACAACGTTTTACTAAATTTTTCATATTATACCCCTTCATCTTAAAATCTAAAACTAATAAGTACGTAAACTCTCACTCGGATTAACTTTACAGTGTTTGCAATCTAACAATCTATTTTTCTTATAAGAAATAATTAATCTGAATTTTACAATATCCATTCTTATAAGTGATGAGATGCTCATCTCTTTTCTTAAATATGGTATTAGCAATTATAAAATTATAAGCTAGAGCGAAATCTAATATAATCTTATCACATTCATTAGTCACTCCAAACCCATAGCCACCATGAATATTTTTAAAATTCTCTACATCTCTACCAACATATCTATTTAAATCTTCTCCTATAAAAACTATTTCTTCAAGAGGAATCTTTTGAATTAATTCTTCTAAGTCGTTCTAAAATTTTAATTTTCAACATATATCCAAACCTACGTGAGGTGCATAAGCATTTATAATATTAATAATCTTAGCATCAACAATAATATTCAAAGCAATAATTCTGTCTCCTGTTCTATCATTTTTTATAATACTATCATTCAAACTCTTATCTATAATCACACATACACCATTTCTTATACGACTTCTATTAGAATACCAAAGTTTAAATCCTAAACTATCAATCTCCTTAGCCTTCTATCAAACCCATTTGATTTCCTGAATGTATAAAATATTTATCTTCATATGAATCGTAATATCAATTAATTCCGGTAATTTGCCTGTAAGAGAACCTACATTCCAAGATCCAATCCGAATTATAGTTTCATGGACTAGCTTCTTTGTCCACATTTGTCCATGATGTGGGAACCTTAGCCTATTTTACACTGCACTTGGGCACCGATGCAACGGCCCTTGCACACTTATTATTGTATTCAGTACATGCAATACTTCGCTTCCAGGGAACGCCCTAGCATTAACACAATGTATTAAAGGATTCATGTTATGATTATTTGACAAGTTTTATGCTCGTTGTCGACTACCTAACGCAACCCTCCACTTTTCTCTTCCAGGACTTGGGACTTGGCAGTGGCAGTGTTGGCATTAGTTATAATGTATTATAAAAGTTTAAATGATTCTATCTTTCTTGCTTTTAATTTCTTAAAAATTCTTGTTTGAAGCCCTTTTTGAATTTAAACTCACTTCACTTTTATCGCAAAGCTTTTTATTGTCATAATTCATCGCCAGTATTTCACCAATTCTCTTATGCAAAAGGATTAGACTCTGTAGCAAGATTGATAAGATCTATAGGTTTTTGAGATTGAGATCATATGATAATCCTAAACAAACTTTTGCCAATGGATCCATTAGTAGATGAATTGTATGCAAATTCAACTATAGATAATATCAAATTCCAACTAGATGAATAATCTGTTGCTGGACACATAAATGTTCCCTCAAGATTCTAATTGCTACCTTAGTCTCACCACCAATTTATGGGTGATACATTATTAAAAAATAAAGTCGTATTCTCTTTTCCTCTAATGAGTTTTCAAAAGCAACTCATAAATTTTATATCCCCATTAGAAACAATTGTTTTAAGTAATCGTGTAATTTAATCACCTTATTAAAATATAGCTTAGCAAGATAAGATGTATTATCAATTTTATGATCTCATATAAAATGCGTCATTTTTTGAAATCCTTCTAGCGCTAGTGTTCTTGGTAGACTTAACATAAAATCTATACTAATATCGTCCCATAATTTATATGGAATTGGTAAAATGTATCTACAGCCTTTTAGAATAAGGGCACATAATAACTTCAAATAGTCTAAGTAGCTTTAACCTTCACAGTTGTGTTGCTAATATGAAGCCTAGAAAATTCATATTTTGCCGTAGTGGAGAGGTAGAAAAAAATTGCATAGAGGGGATGAAAAAAACTTTTGAAAAGAATAATGTATAATGGTGTTTATACAGTCGTTTTAGTCTTTTATTTGTTACATAGGTGCTTACTCTCCCTCATACTTTTAACAAATCCCTCTACTTTATCTATTAAGTCTTCCTTCTATAATTGAATGAAAAAAAAAGGTCTTCCTTCTATAGTCATCTTCTTCATTAATTTTCTTATTACTAAACAATACTCTTTAACTTTCCTCATCTTCTCCTTCTCCACACCTCTGGGATAGCCACACATTTTGCTAGAAACAATAGTATCAAGTTATGATTGTAAACTACATTTTTAGGAAGCACCAGAACAATGAGAGGAAAGCTCATTTGTGGAGCAACTAAAAATCATCAAGCCCTCAAACTTTTTTTTTTCTTTTTTTTTTTGAAAATGCTTTGAAAGGTATGCAATATACTTTTGTGATATGTGATATGAACGTAAACTGTTGGTTAATATTAATCTCGGCATTAGTGTCACACCCAATTTGACCTCTTGCAGTCAAACATGAGACGTGGCAGAGGTGCGCAACTCAACCAAACATATTTCCCACCAACACATCTAGTGATCTAGTCTCTTAGCAAACAAGATTGAGTGGATAGAAAATATGTTTGACTTGATTGTCACAAAACAAACACTACTCTTTTTATAATCATTCAACAAATTTATTATACTCATTAATAGAAAATGATCTATAGAGCTTCTAATGAATTTAATAGATAATTAACACATACTATAAGTTTTTAATCTACATAATATACATTCTTCTTCTTTGATATACCCAAACCTTTAAATTAAAACACTTACATGAAGGCTCAGGCTTGGTCACCATGCTATGACCAAATTTTTTTCTGTCTTCCATGAAATAATACTTATAGTAATATGTGAAGGGATAGAATGCTCAGTAGGAGAAATAATTTAAATTTATAATTCAAAATACATGAAAAGGGGAGTAATCTACATGCTATACTTTTAACTGGTATGAGTATCAATAACACTAGATATAAACAGATACATTAGACATCAAATTAATAAGTGATTTTGTAAATGAATATCTAAATGACATACGCAATAAGCATAAAGGCGTGCAGGGAATGAAATACAATCGTCTAGTGTACAATCATTCAATGCACTATGCTACTTAGATGCTAGTACAAAACTACTTTTTTTTCTTCCATTTTGTGTTATCAAATTACTTTTTGGTCTTCCATCTTTTATTCTTTTTCTTATAATAGATTTTGAAGTATCGTATAATATCTATCCAGAATTTGACACATGTAGATATCATATTGTCATTATCTAGCCCATCGGCCCATTATCACAATTGATTTGCTCAGACATAGCAATTATCACACGAACCCATTAAAGATTGGATTGCTCCAACAGGGTAATTTTTGAGAGTCAGAAACCTCCTTTTAGTTCATATTCAAACTCATCTCAAAACAAACTTTTGTCGCTCATAGATCATTATAATCTGTCAACCTATTTCATATGACATGACCTTTTATAGACGTCCACTTTGGCATCAATATTATAAGCATTTAAAATATACTTATTATTTTTATGCATGTATGATTATCATTCTATATTAACCTATAACAAATGTATAAACATGCAATAGGTGAAGTAACATACGAATTTTTGAATGTGAATGGTAGGCCTTAAACAGTTGGATGTAATGTATTTTAAAATAAAAGAAATTGATTGGCTTAAGTTATTTATGTAATTTGTTTTAAGATTAAAATTTATTATTCAAGACACACGTATCAAACATCTATTTTATTTTTTTATTTAAACACTTGGATGACGTGTTCTACATTGTTTTATGTGTGCGTCGGGCCAATGTAATTATGAACTCCAAAATGTTTCATTATTATAGAATCTTGGCACATCATAACTTGGGTCTATATCTAGGTCACAATGGATGGAACCTAACCAATGCTTTTTACCCGCCCTATAGGAGGTTATTTGATTGGTTCACATCTTATTTAGCACGTTCTATTTAACAATAGAGATGCCATTTTGATTTACTAACATCTTAAGGTTGCAATTACATTTACGTTTAATCCAAGGTAATTTCCATTTAAATGTTTCTGTTTTATGATTGAAATCTGGGTAGTAGCTATGTCGATGGATTAAAGAAACATATATTAGTGTACATGACATGGTTATATATATATCCCCTGGCTCCTTATTCATTTCAAATTCACTGTGTTTGTTGATATCTGGTTTTTGGTGACCAGTCGATGTTGGTCTTGAAATTTTATTCAGTTTTTTTATATAGAGTTTGTTGATATAAACGCATTCACCTAATTTTATTAATTTTACTATTAAACCTGGATTATATTTACACTTTTATACATGCACCGGCTTCTATTGAAGATCCAGCCTGAATCATTCAAAGATGACCAAAGAAATAAGTCCGAAAGATTGCGTTTATATTGAGTTGTCACTTCATTTCAACTGCTGATTTAATTAATTATAAAAGTAATTATAAGATTTCTCTGATTTTGCAGCATTGATGTAGTTTCAGAGGCATTTCAGGGACAATCTGCTGTTAATAGGCAGAGAATGGTGTATAAAGCGATCTGGGAAGAACTTCAGAGTACAGTTCATGCGGTTGACCAGATGACTACAAGAACTCCTTCTGAAGCTGCAGGCAATAAATAAAGTAGAATAAGGAAGTAGATGTATCCATTTTCTTGATTGTGGGAGAAATTCTATGCTATAATTCTTCCATTTGACAATTTTGGTTCTCTATCTATCTTTTTTTGCTTGTCATCAATTATGTGTCCCCTTCTCCATTCAGGATTTCTAAATGTTTTATTGTAACTTTTGAAATTAATGGCCGAAAATTAACTCCATGAATTGGGAATTGGTTTAATTATATTGGAGAATATATGGTTTAGGAAAAGATTGGTTTGAATAGACCATATTCGTCAAATAGAAAATATAGGGTTAGACTCAGAAGATATTGAATACTGATTAAAATCATTTTATGAAATTCAAAGACTAGTGCTTCGGAACTCGATACAGAATTGTGGGGCTTTCATTACTGAGTTTTTAGTGATTGAAGTTTTTTACATGAACTTTATAGTAATTTACCCACTTATCAATAAGTTCTAGAATCTCTTCACTTTTCTTTTTCAAATTGTTTGTGCTCTATCGAATAAGCAACCTGAAATTGTGCTATATTGGAAGGAATATGTCAACAGTTGCCTTGAGAAATAATCTGGATTATGATATGCCATCTTCTATGGCCTACAATGTACAAAAATATCGTGATGCTGGTTGGTTTTAAATTTGTTAATATGTAGAGACAATATGTAACAGGTGCTCAAGATGTTTAAAATCTATTTCAGTTAAAAGATTAAAAAATACTTAATTTTACCATTTATTTAAAGGGATCCAAGGGTTACTGGAAATACTACATCTAAAAGAATATATTGATTTAAATGGCTCATACTATAGACTGTTTTGGACACATGTTGTGTGACACCTCTAGATTTAGCATTTAGTTCAACTTGTTTCAACCGGATTTGAAAGAGTTAATTGCTTGAATATTTGTATTTTGAACTCGTATGAATGTGCTTGAGAGTGTTTTGTATACATGTGAGAATTTGTATGTGTTTTCGAATATTTCTTGAGAGTCTATTTGCATGTTTGTGAAATTTAATTTTTTTCCTTTGGGGCGCCGCAACGTAAGGTTTGGCAACGCCCCAACATGTCTCTCAAGAAAATCTGCTTTTAATTCAGCACTCCGACGCCCCGCGATTGAGACAACATTGTGTGTTTGTTGAAGAGCATCGTGGCACAAGGTCGAATTTATTTGGAATTATAAGATGGAATTATGTTACTTTGTTAGAAAATTATAAAGTGTTTGTTTATTTACTTCTCTATACTACGAGTTAAATTTTCTAATAACTGGAAGAACTTTTTTTTTTTCAAGAAAATGATTATTATGAAATACCTTTTAAAATTCAGCTATATATTCTATAAATTAAATGATTTTAAAATTTATATCAGTTTAAATGTGGTCTACTAAGCGGTGTAGCTCAAATATTTTGTTTCATGTTTTCAAGGTTTTGGAAAGAGAAGAAGTATGTTGACTATCAATTCAAGATCTGATAAGTCTGTATAAGTATTTTTCTTTTTGATTTTTGTATAGTCATGACTAGCTTTTGTTATATGTTGCTCTGATCTCGATTTTGTAGCCATGCACTATAGTTAAGTTTTATACTGACATTTTGATGATGATGATGAAATGAAAAGAAGTTCGTGGATGAGGTATTCTTATATGTTGGACGTTGGTAGCAGCTATGTTTATTTGTTTTAAAGTTTAAATTCAACAACAACAACATCAAGTCTTTGTCCCACTACGTGGGGTCAGCTATATGAATCTTTTTTTCGCCATTGTGTCATATTAAAAGTTAAATTCTCATTTAAATCTAATAAAGAAATATCATTTCTAATATTTTCTAACCAAGTCTTTTTAGGTATACATCTACCTTTCTTAATATAAATCAAATTTAATACCTCAACTTTCCTAACCGGGTCATCGAAAAGCCTTTTCACGTATAAAATATTAATGAATATAGATGAGTACATTGATGTTTTAAATTATAAAATATGTTTTATTTTTTATTACTGATAGATGATATTAGGTAGCTCTAGTTGTTGATTATTAAAAGATTAAAAGAATAATTCTTCCAATATAGATTATGGGGCATCACAATTGGTATCAAAGTATAGTTATTGAAAGAATTGATTATTACCAGAGATATATGATGTGATTGAGAGTTGGGTAGATTAAGGTGTATTAGTTTGCATATATAATTGAATGACATGTCATAGAATGAATTGCATGACTGTATGATTTTTGATGAGTTTTAATTTGATTTGAGTTTTGATTGGACGGATTTGGTTTATCTCAGTTTTTGTGCCCAAATTCTTAAGGGAAATGTCAGAGACGATATTTTCTTAAGGCGGGTAGATTGTAATAACCCATATTTTGACTGTCAATTTTTTTCTGGAGTCATTATAATTTTAAATCGCAATCCGTCTTTCCCATAGTATTTTGATTGTAATATTTTATTTACATGAATTTTTTCGTAATTTTTTGGCACTGATGAAAGTCCTTAAGAAATTTATACCTGTCGGTACAACTGAGGATTTCGAGACCGTAAGGTGTCTGTTTTGCAAACCGATTTCATTGATATTTTTTAAATAAAATAATTTATTTTATAGATATTTTTCTGAAATTTTTGAAGTTCTAAAATGATTTATTTGAATTTTCTACTAAAGAATTAATTAACTTAAATATTACATTAAGTATTATATTATTATACTATTAAAATATCTTAACCCACTTAAGCTTTTCATTAAAATTCCTTTTATCCCATTGATTTCGGATAATAGAGAAGGTTTAAGGGAATTAAGAGAAAAAGTATAAGAGAGAAAAAGAAAATTGAGATTTGGAGACCGCGATGCGATTTTTTCGTCAATCCTATTAGGATAATTACTCGTCTCGTTGTAAAGAACCTTCACCCTATTTCTGATTTCAAAGATTTTGTATTTTTGATAATTTTCTGTTCAAATTTGTGTTTTCATTAAAAAAAACGTGAATAATTTTGTATTGGTAAAACTTTCACCGCGTAACTTTTTGTATGTTATAGAGATCATGATTGTGAGAGCATTTTGAGTATTTATTAGTGATTTTTTATCACGTAATTTTGAAGATACAATAATTTTTGTATACCTAGAAAATTTTTTTGGCATCTAAAAATAGTAGTGTAATACAATAAAAATCTTAAAACATCATTTTACATACTTTCTCATATTTTAGTAAATTTTTAAAAATGTGCATTTTTGCTTAATAGGATTCTTTGTTGTATACCGTTATGATATTTTGACATCTTCTTAAATAAGTTCAATTATACATTATTTGTTACAATCATTGAAAATGAATGTAAATATGTGCTTAAGTAATAGCTTGTCGCTATTACTGTTATAGTATTATGATAATAATATGTGTGTGTGAAACAAACAAATAAGGATTTGGTTGACCCGTTGGTTGGAGACTGATTGACCTATACATGATAGTGGGTCTGAAAGTTTGTTAGGGATGTTAGGCCCTATGTGAACTGGCCCAAGGCTAACAAAGAGATAGGTGAATTGGATAACTTTAAAACTAAAGTTAAAACTCAAAACAAAATCACCACAGAAAAAAGTGCGGAAGAAAAATAAATACAGAAGCGATAATAAGAAAAGAACACACCGGATTTATAGTGGTTCGGTCAAACCTTGACCTACGTCCACTCCTTGGAGGCACCCTCCAAGTATTGCACTACAAAAGTGTCTCTCCTTTAGCCCCCACAGCTAGGCGGAGAAGCCCTTACAAAATCACTTCCACCTTCCCCGGTGCGGTGGAGTCGCCGGGTCCTTTGACACCAAAGAGATCTTCTTCTTTGGTGAACTTACCTCGAGATAAGCCTTGAATCCGATGGTACTAAGGTGCGAGTTCGCCGGAGCAACAGTGTGGATCCCCCACCACACTCCCTTGAGTTCCTCCCCCTCACAGGATCTTCTCCCTCTCAAACTCCACCCTTTCCTCTCTCCCTTTCAAGCTCTCTCTTCTAGTTTTCCCCCACAAGAACGAAGCTACAATGGCTGCCAAAGACACTTACAAAGTGCCTTGCCAAAGCTTAAATAGAAGCTCTCAAAACGAGCTCATTAATGCAAGTTGCCGACATTATCGTCCAGAACGATAGGCATATCGTCCTGGCCGATTAGTTCAAATTCAGCTCAACGGCCTGGGACGATTTGGGACGATCAGAAGAAAATTGGTTACATCGTCCTGGCCGATATCACGATCGTCCTGGACGATTAGTTTAAAACCCATTTAAATCGTCCTGATCATCGCCCTGATTTGATGCTGGCCGATGTCAATCGTACAGGACATAGTCCTGGCCGATCATAAGATCGTCCTGGCCGATATGATCGTATCAATCAACCATTAATTCTTTCCAAATAATACCAGATCAATTTAGGCATAATTGAGTTAGATCGTCCTAGAAGATGTGAATATCGTCCTGGCCGATTTCCTAAAATAAAGAATACCTAAACTGATTATGGCGACTGATTTCTTTCTGAATTGAGAATATCGTCCTGGCCGATACAAGTATCGTTCAGGCCAATCTGTTTATGACGGTTGCCTTAATGAGATGCCCTAATTAGGGTTTCTGATTTTGAACATATCGTCCAGGACGATATAAATATCGTCCCGGCCGATATTACCAAAAATATAAATCCTAAAGGGAAAAATAGGTAAACTTCTATGATACAAAACAACAGGTCCCACACCCAATACAATAGACTCAAGAAAGGAAAAAAGATTACAAACTGACACAGACCTAATCTACCCAATCTTGAGCTGTTTCTAAATTGCAGTCTGATCGTGTGGACCTAAAACGTTAGCACATAAGACAATCGTAGAGAAATAAGAAATGTTTGCTATCATCAAAATCATGAGCCATAGATCCGCAACAGGGTCAACGAGCTTTCGTTTAAATACTATGGTTTGATGTTATCCTCTACTAATTCACGTGATACACTGATTGAAAGTTATAAAAAGATCATTTCTATGCTGAGGAAGACTCTATTTACCGGGTAAATGGTTTACTAACACTGAAAAACACCATGATAGCCAGAACTTCTTACTTGTTTAGTGTAACTATTGAAATGCATGTTTTTGGGGTATTATTCTTATTACCATACGAATTTTTTGTTGATGTATGGATTTACTGTTATTGCATTATTCTACTGTTGTTGCCATTAGATTGTTACTAATATAAATAATGATATTATTTGATGCTACTGATTCTCTGTACTGATAGTATGTATATAATATACTGAGCACATGATATATAAGATAGAGCACGTGATTGTGATATTGAGCTTGTGATTGAGATACTAATTTAATGTTGATATAGAATGCCTTGATAGCATGTGTACATTCCGATATGATTTTATTCATTGATTTGATTTTGACAGTCTTTACCGACATTTTGTTTGATATTTATATGATTTATGTACTGATTTATATTATTGATATAACGATTACTTTATAGATTTGCCACTCGTACTGATTTATAACTTTAATAGCTTTCGTATCATAGTGTTTTATTGCTTATAGATTATATTACTAATGTATTTGAGTTTTACTATTTTTGCACTGATTCAATAATCATATATATGTAACTGCTAAGATTTAATTATTGACATACATATTACTTCTTTAACGTGCTTTGAATTCAATTATAGGTCTTGGTGACATGTTGGACTTTCTAATCTCATTATATGTGGTTAAATAATTTCATGTCAGGGTAGGCGAATGGGGGTGTGAGATTGGTCAATATTATTTAGGTTCTATTTTTTTTTTAATTTTTCTTTTGTACTCAGAATAAAATAAATATGTGATGATTGTATAGATTCTGAGTAGTGTATATAAATTTTTGGCAATGAATATAGATGAATACATTGGTGTTTTAAATTATAGAATATGTTTTACTGTTTATTACTAATAGATGACATTAGGTAGCTATGGACCTCTGGTTGTTGGTTATTAAAAGAATTATTATTTCAATTTAGATTTTGAGGCATCACATGGAGAGGTATAGGAGATGACAGTGAGGTGGTTGTTTCATGTAATGTTGACGGTGGGTTAGGAGGAGAATTGTGGGAGGTAATAATAGTAGTTGTGTTTATTTAAATATATGAGAGAGATGTAGTTTGTGATGTTATAAGTGAAGAATTAGGAAGAGGAGCGATGGTATAGTAGATGTAGGAACTAGAAGGAGAGGAGAATACGTGGCAGGAGGTAAGCTTGTTGGTTGAAATGTTGAAGAACATTGAAAAGGAAATATTTGCTCATGAAAGACTATATAAGGAGAGATGTGTATTTTAATTGCATTTAAGTAAGACTTAATTGGTGCATTTAATTATATTTATTACATTCAATTAAGATTAATTATTATATATATATTTTTAAATTTCTTTATTAATACCAACTTTAGCAATTAATAATATAATTTATTAAAAATTTCATGCAAGCCCGAAATGTTGGATAATTATTATATTTAATTGGTATTTATAAAAATATTTATTATTCCATTAATGCCAATTATTTGTATTAATTTGTGAGAGGCTAATAAATATCTCTCTCCGAGGAGCTTATGACATTATTAACATTAATAGTAATATTTTTTTTTATTTACGTTAGTAGTAACATTAAGTTTATATTAATTGCACTAATTAAGTTAAAAAATTATTAATGCCATATTTTTTATTTTTACATCTATGACTCGATTTTTTTTTATTTTCCTTTTTCATTTGAAATCTTCCTACTTATCAATGATTTATATAAAATTTAATAACATTGAAATAAAATGTCATGAATTATTTTTAAATTTTAATTATTTATTTGTTATTTTTAAAAAAATTATTCATGCATCAATATCTATAAATAAATGAAAGGCAACCCTAGAAAATTCTCGAATTCTCTCTACTCTCGCTACTATATATCAACGGGTTACGCAGATTCCGCGACTCACAAATCTGCTCCGCTCTCCTCTACATGGCCGTAATATCCGAGTTCGAGGAAGAACAACAGGCGCCTTCCTCTTCGTCGTCTGGGATCCATGATGCAGACGAGGAGACCCTTATCCAGATCCTTAATAGGAGGGGACCTGTCTCCTTCTTCGAGACTGTTGTCGATATTCTTCGCCGACGGTCCGATCTCTTCAAGACCGAATCATCCGTAAGCAAACTCATGGCGGTGCTGTCTGCCGCAAAACAAAAAGAGGTTGTTGAGCAGACGGTCATGAATAAGAAGGCCAACAAGGAGCAATTGCCCGAGAACTTAGCAGGCGTAGCCAAGGCTGGGATCAAAGAGAAGGCCATCCAGAAGATGGAAGCAGACGAGACGAAGGAAAGCACGTCAAATAAGCTAGAGCAAGTTAATGGAGGAGAGGGCAAGGAAGCCGAGACTATTACGAGTATGTTATCAGTTATTTTGCTGGTTTCTTTCTCTCTTTGGCCACCGTTTTGAGCACCGAAATATCCCTTTATTCCTGTCGAGTTGAATGCCGCTTGAGTTGTTAATTTCATTTTTTGAACATCTTTGTGAAGTGAGTCTAATCTGGTTACCTTTATTCTACTAATTTTTCTATCCTTTCCCAACTCCATTGACGTTTTCTCGATCCACTCATCTTATTTGTGCATCATTTTTCCTTTGCTATGCATGAATCAATGATAGATGATATGATTTTGTTCATTCTTGAAGTAGTATTTTAATTTGCCTTTGTGATTTTAATCGATAACTAAGACTCTTTTGTTCTAATTTTAATCGATCTAACTTGTTTAAAATTTTGATTCTCTAGCATTAGTTATTTAATATATATTTTCTTTTCTCCTTGGCACCTACCTAGTGATATAAATTGTCGAGAGTTGTTGTCTGATTTTTCTTATGTTCTATTTGTATAATATATGGCTTCTTTATAATTATTGTAAGCCTTGGATTTTTTTTAATGGAAAATCACAATAAACAAAAAAATTTATTTTCTAATTTCATTGAGAGATATATATTTTAACCTACAAAGCTTTTTGATATGAGGATTTGACTAGTATTTAACGTAAATCCCACCAAATAATTGTTTTTAGACATCCATCTTTTTATTTACAGGTTTGATGGGGTTTATAAAATAATTTGGTGAGCAAGATTTATGATAGATCATTTTGTTTTCATCACTATTTCTTTGCTCCTCTCTTTTGTAGTAAGGCTACCTTCTCTCCTCTCGATAGACAAGTTTGCTGTTGGATTCACTTACACTTTATTGGTTTTTTCTCCTCCATTTTGCTCCCTTCTTTCCTCGGGTGCCATGTTTGTTGCTGTGAAATCTCTGCAAACTTCACTAGTTTTCATCTTCTCCTAGTAGGCTATCCTTTGTTGCTTCATGTACTCGTTGAGTTCTTATCATCTCCTTCGCTTGCACTTCACCCATTGCTCTATCTGTGATTTAATGCTTAAATTATTTGATATGCCATTCAGATGTGTAGATTCATATAGATCTATTATGTAGTTAAAATTTCCTCTTCTGTTTCACTATTTAGCTTGCGATGTGGTTGTTTGGGTGGAAGTATGCTACGTGGTCCCCATTATTCTCTTTGTGAATTGTGTCGGTCCTCGATCTTCCTCAATTTTTCCCTAAGAAAACTTTGGTGAAGCCTTTTATTACGTATATCCCAATATTTAAATAGGATCATAATTCATTTGGGCATAGAATGTTGTAGATGATTCTAAATGATATTTTTTGTGATCTATGCAAACGAAAAAAAGGAACTTTGATTATTAAAAATTTTGCTTCGTCAATGATTTGTTTTTTTTTTTTTTCAAAAGAATTTGGGAAAGTGAATTTTAATCTTATTCTTGTTGAAATCCCACCAAGGTGCGTCTCTGTTATGGAGGTTGAGGTTTTTATTCCTAATGCCCCACCTTTTTTCCTAGTCGTGTGGGCACTTGTGAGGAGGTTTTAATGTGATTGATATGTCGTTCTATACTATGTTCTAGGCATTCACAAGCATAAGAGAGTGATTGGATATTTGCATGGTAATGATAATTTCACGATTGACTTTGCTTTGGTTTATTATTGTACGATTTGACTTGTTTAATTATTTGTTAACTCATTTGATAAATTATTTTATTTAGAAAGCTTTTCTTTTAGATGTTTATTTTACACTGTTTCTAAACTAGTTAGCATGCTTGGAACTTCATTCTTGTTTTAAGTATAAGTAGTTATGCTTTTATTTATTTTTCATCTTATTAATATCATTTAGAAATAAGTTAATGGAGATCCGCAAGCTTATGCTTGTCAAGAATATTGAGAAAATAAATTATTTGAAGAATATTTTAGTTTAATTTTTTACATAGTTTAATTTATTTTTTTAATTACAATTGTAGTTTATTTTTAGAATCCTGTGAGGATCGGTTGTGTCCTTGGTTTAGTTTGATATAATGCTAGGGTAATATCATGATTTGGTGTCAAAAAAAAAAAAAGAAAAAAAAAATCATGTTTTGGTGTTGGGTTATTTGCAAGTCATTATCAATTGATTTGGATATTTACACGTGATATTTGATGTATTTTAAGAAAGTTTATATATTAGCAGCTAATGGTGCCTTTGGATCGGCTTGTGCGTAGTATGTTTAGAAAGTTTATTGTTGTGTAATATATTGATATTTTTGGGACTTGTATTGTATAGCAGTTATTGATTGTTTTTTTATTCTCATAAATTTAAGGTGGTTAGTAATCGGCAAACATTTGTAATGCTTGTTATGTGTGGAGCTTTCAAAGTATGACTATCTTTGATAGATGGTTCATAAAGGGATTGAATATTATGATAGAAACAATTGCAAATATTGTGATAGAAACAATAGCAAATTATTATAAGAAAGACTTGTTTAAATTGGCAAAAATTTGCTACTTGTATTTTTATTGAATTAAGGAGAGTCTTGGTAATGCACGTGTGCTTAAATTATTTGAGTTTAATAATATTTTTTTTTTTCAGGTTTTTTATGATGCATCTGATGTGTGTTGGTGAAGTGTTAATTAAGAGGGCTATCCAATTCTTTTTTTCATTGAAAAATTGAATGTGGCAAAGTAGAACTATTTAAATTTTGATTGGGAATTCTATATTGCACAAATACTTCATCATTGAAGAAAATTTTTTTCTTAAAGAAATTTTCCTTTATTATGACTACATGTAAGTTCACAAAAGAAATTAGTGTGTAGAATGCAAAATGGGCTGAATTTCTATAGGAGAATATGTTTGTACTAAATTATTATGTTGAATTTTAAAGCAAGCTTGTTAATATTTAAAGTAGGGTTAAAAAAAAGTAGTTTTTTTTTTCCGCATGATGTATGTTCAGGTGGCTGATTTTGATCGTGTTAAGGAAGAATGCCATTTGTAAGAATTTTAGTGAGATATATTTGGATCTAAATAACAACTCATCCTTGTTTAAGATGTCATGATTAAATATGCTTTTTTGTTTGACGGTACACGTTTGAATAATTTATAAGTGACCTTTTTTTTTTTATCTTAGAGTTGTATGTTGTCATCTTGATAGAGACAATAACCATAGCTAAAGATTGGTAACATTGGCAAATATATTTCACAACCTGAGTTTTTCAAATAGCTAAAGGAAAAAACATGCATGTAAAATTTCGGCTTTACATACCTCCGCCTATTGCATAAAACCTTGCGAGGTTCTTTGTATGGACTTTGTAATAGGACAACCACGAAGGATGATTTTATTTTTAACTATTAGATCATTTTGCTTAAATGTATTATTCGTTTATAAATAGATTTACAAAGCATTGCTAAGGTGGATTTAAGTGGACTGGTTAACCATATAGGTTATTAATACCACTGATGCAGAACATATATGCAAAGAATATGATTTGATTAAAAAATATGCATACTTAAATTTTAGAGAACAATAATAAGCAAAATCTTATATTGATTTAAACGATAAGATAAAACACTAAGGTGATAAAATAAGCTTAGGCCAAATTATATGCGTAGAAGTTAAGATCATAAAATAGTCAATTAATCTAACGTTGCATACATGAAAGGTTTTAACAAAATCCTTATGCTAACAATAAGATTAGTCACTATATAAGGATTCCTCACTCAACTCGCTAAATTACTATGCTTTAGCAGAGGGATCAACAAGAATCTTTGTGAATTAAATTATAACCACAATTGAAAGGTGAATTAGGAAGATATAAGAGTAGGAAGAAAAGTTTACCATGGGAAAGACAAATACGGAGCTCTGGCGTAGTCGCTTTGGTGTTGGGGAAGGAGTGGACAACAACACACAACCCCTAGCTGCCTTAGGACAGCAATTTGATGATCTTTGGCCGGTGGGCAGCAAGTTCCCTTGGACTGGTTTCTCCAAACAGCAAACTGAGGCTTTTGGACAGCACACGATGATCTCCGGGTGGCAAGGCAGTCACCAGATGTTTCTAGAAATTCTGGACAACAATCAGCTCAGGGAAATAAGGTTTTGATGGAGCAGTTTGAAGAGGGGGTGTATAAGGTCTTGTAAGAAACTAAACACAAGAAAGGCATTGTAGTTTAAAGTCATGTTACACGATATGATAAATGCTTATAATTTGGAAATTCATTTTCAAAGCTTCATGTCAATTTTTTTGCCAATAACATGAATTCTGTTATTAAAAGCATGCGGTATATTTATCAATATCTATTACTAAATGGATGTTGTAATGTTGCTTGATGATGGTTAAACATGGATTTATAAAGTGTTTCATTTACTTGATAAATCAACTATGCTATAAGCAACTTACCTTCTTTTTCTTGGATAGAGCTTGTTGTGTAGGAAAAGGTCCCATATGTGCTTCTATTTGTCTTTGCTAATGGTTATGGTGATGTTGATCATATTCTGGTTTGTGAAATGCTTCTAATGTGCTCTCTCATCCGTTTGTGTAAATTTGCTTCTAGAAAGTCTTAGGCATGCAGGTTTGTTTGTGATATGTTTCGTTTATTTCTATATTCAACAACTGAATATTCTGAATTTTTGCAATTGAATCTAAGTAGTTAATTGTTTTCGTAATCATTATTTAGAACCGAATAATGGAAATGGTCTTGACCTAGAGAAGTATAGTTGGACCCAGACACTTAAAGAAGTTAATGTTAACATCAAAGTTCCTCGAGGCACGAAGTCAAGATTTGTGATCTGTGAAATAAAGAAGAACCATTTGAAGGTTGGGCTGAAGGGACAGCCTGCAATTATCGATGTAAGTTATTTTCACCTTCTTCTAGTTTTTAAAGATTTTAATTATCCTCTTGTTCCTAGTCTATTTTACAGGTTGGAAAAATAAATTTGTGCACCCTTAACACATGCTTTTATTTGTAGGGCGACCTTTTTCAATCTGTCAAAGTTGATGATTGCTACTGGAGCATTGGTTTGTGTCTGTGACTTTATATTTTCTTTATGGAGTACTAGTTTGTATATTTTGTTGTCATTGCCGCTTCAGTATGGTTTCTGAAGAGAGTATTGACTTTTAAATATTGTAGAGGATCAGGAAATCATATCCTTACTTCTTACCAAACAAAATCAAATGGAGTGGTGGAAATGTGTAACAAAAGGCGAACCTGAAATTGATACACAGAAAGTAGAGCCTGAAAACAGTAAACTGTCTGATCTGGATCCTGAGACACGTCAAACTGTCGAAAAGATGATGGTATGATCCTGAATCCCTCGAGAGTTGTATTTTTTTTTTCTGCAGCTTGCTTTGGAAGTCTCAAGCCTCTGAAACTCCCTTCTGTTTCTTAAAAGTTTTTTGTACCTATGCTTGTTTTGTGTATAATAATCCATTTGATTCTCTTTGTGTATTTAATCTTCACTCACGTTCTGATCTCTCTCCCTCTCTCTTACACACACAAACGCACCACACATTGGAGTATCTCCCTGTTCTCTCTTGGTGCCTTTGAATGTGCTATATACACAAATATGGTTAAAAAGGGATTTTGTAAACTTACTGATAGGAAACACTTGAAGATTTCAAGTAAATCCTATCAATTTCATAAAATCAGCGAGAAACTCTTCCAAACTCCAAAAGAAACTAGAAGAATAGTAATTTTATTGTACGAATCAAATAGATCAGAAGAAAACAACAAGATACAAGTGATCCTCTATTCGAGAGGAGGATCATCTCTCCCAATCTCTAGACGAAACAAGTGCCCAAAACCTAAACCTAAGAGATCCCAAAATCAGTCAAATTCAAGATGCCCTAACCCTAGGAAAACAAGGTATTTAATGCATAAAATTCAAAAGGAAATCGCTAAACAGCCCCTACATTCAAATTTCCCTCCTAACTCCCTAAAAAATCCTTCCAAATTGGCTCCCGTGGATCTTGCGGCTCGTGCAGCTAGAGAAGGAGGCGGAGAAGTTCTGCCTCATTCTCGCCTGGGTTGGTCCCGCATGCATTGGCTGGACCGGTCTAACAAAAAGGTGATTCTTTGAAGTTGAAGAAGAATAATTTTTACTCCAAAGCATCATATATACTTGTGGGTTACGAAAATTCGGCCCCAGCCTTCGCCCGGCTGTATGCTTTTCTTTTCAGGGGAGTTTTAATGGAATTAAGTTATGGGGTAAATTTTGGAAGGTAGATGAGTTTGTAGATAAGACACTATCAAGAGATTTCTCCCTCATTTTGCGAGGATTTTATGATCTGAGTTCTGGTTTCCTATAGGCGCAAGCCCCTATAGTTAATTACCCCTCCCGATAATGAGAGAGAACTTTCGGTTAAGGCTAGTTGTCAATTAGATACGTAGTATCTAGCATATAGTAGTAGCATGTTCATAGAGAATTTGGAAAGTTTGGTATTTAAAATTGAAAATTTCACCATCTCACACTTAAAGCAGATGGTGGAGGAATGAATGATGGACCCGATCAAGATCCCATGATTCCGTCGTCCCGGGCCATCGTGGTCCCTGATCTACTTAGTCAGAGGAGGTAGTCGACCCAACATGACAGAAGGATTCTTGTCAGTATCCATGGGTTGCTTCGTCCAAGGGGACCTTGTAGACCTGGAATGAATGTTTGTCTAAGGGGACAAATTTGAATCCACCTTAGCTAACAGAGGGCTTTGTGCCCTATCGATCATATCCCATGATTCATATCTCAAGGATTTGATGCCACAAAGGAGCGTATTGGCTCTGGCCATAACTGATATTTCGTGGTGCCATTTGACGCCAAAATCACTCGGTTCTGAGGGGTCCGGGTCATAATCATTTATCCTGCGGTGTCATTTGGCGGCAAAATCGCCGGCTATAGGACATGTACCATGTCCTTATTGGCAGGAGATTGTTTGAGAATGAATTCTAGTGATATTTTCGACTAGGCATTTGACTATATGTGAGCTGAAGTACATTTCAATTTGTCCACACCGGCAAACTGTTACGAAGGGTGGATCGATTTTGTTTTAAGTGGTTGATGATGTGGACTTCATTTTAAAATATTTGGAATTGAGATTTTTGGATTTTAGATTTTATGGAGTTTTTGGATTTTCCGGTACATTTGGGTGGAATTTGAAAGTTTTTGAAATTAACCCCTCCGGTTGATATCTGTATTCACACGACCATCATTGAGGTGGTGAATATGGGGTTATTTCCATTTGAAAATATTTGTTTTTATGGGTGAATCTTGTGAATCTTGTCGACTCCGTCGAGTTATCGACAGAGGATCGGGTTTCATAGGCTTTATGCATTTGTTAGTCAATTCTCTTGATTATAAGCTTTGAAGGCCTAATATAAATGTATTAAAATAAATATATCGGTCGTCACAATCGTATATTTGTTTGGTGGTTTAAATCCTGTCGACTCCCATTGATCCGTATAGAAGGATTGGGTTCGAACTTGAATTTACTTATTGACCCGTACAACATCCCTAGACGTCATGTGTGTACCAATAACACGCTCGCCGGGGCTCATGTGGGTGTTTGGTGATATTTTATAAATATTTGTTGAACTTTGTCGACTCATATTTACTTGCTTAGGAGGGTCGAGTACAGATTTATTGACCCACGCAGCATCCCTAGACGTCATGTGTGTTCCCAGAACATGCTCGTCGGGGCCCATGCGAGTGTTTGGGGGGCATTTTATAATTATTTACTAAAACTTGTCGACTCCTATTTAGCTTATTAGGAGGATCGGGTTTGAATTTATTGACCCGCGCAGCATTCCTAGACCCTAGAAGTCACGTGTGTTCCCACAACACGCTCGTCGGGGCCCATGTGGGTGTTTGGGGGACATTTTATAATTATTTACTAAACATTGTCGACTCTTATTTAGCTTCTTAGGATGATCGTGTTTGAATTTATTAACCCGCACAGCATCCCTAGACGTTACATGTGTTCCCACAACATGCTCGTCGGGACTTATACGGGTTAATGATTTTATATACCTCTTTAGTGTACATATGTGTATATAAATTACGGTGCATGTGCGGAGGTTATTTTAAGATATTTTAATTGTGCAGGTAACTGCCATTTGAATGCACACAACATTTCATTTGAGAGCTTATATACACGTTCTGTTCACTAATACAAGTGTCGCGGATCCGGTGGCGGGTTATAACAGCTTATGGATTGAGTGGTTTGCTGCTTTGTACATGTAGACTATCGTGCACTATTTATTATTTTATGTAGGTGGATTGTAGTGCACTAATTAATCTCCTGCTTTAACACGCAGGTGCTTGCATTTGTTGTATTTTTTCTTCCTTCGCTTGCATGATCAACATGAATTTGCATACCAACTGTTATCATTGGTAGGAAATTCAATTGCCAGGGGTTTTGTATAATTCTCTCACAACCAAACTATACCTTCTCTCTAATTTTCTTTGCTTGCTGAGTTCAATGCATCTGCTTGTATGTTTGGTATTGGTTGTGGGAATATCATTGTATCTATTACATTCATCTTCTTAATGAACCAATATATTCTTCAAGTACCTTTCTAGTGAATTAGCATACTAAATTTATGTTACCTTGTGGTCCCTTACATTACAGATCTTATCATATTATAGATAAACCACATCATTGCAAACTCTCTTATTCATGCTCGTAGGCGAGTCATATTCACTAGCTGTTCCTTTCCACATGTGTATGCACTTAGGGTGTCAATTCAGGTCGACGGGTCGGGTTCGGATCGAACCCGAGTGGACCCGATTCTAAACGGGTCAACCCGAACCCGACTCGTTTTTGTAAACGGGTCGGCTATCTCAACCCAGACCCGACCCGCGTTGGTTGCCGGGTTGACACGACACGGCCCGATTAGTTAAACTCGAAGCGGCAGCCGCCAGCGGGCGTGGCAGCCGTAGGCGAGCAGCGACAGGGCGCAGGCGGCACGGCGGAATGCGAGCGATGAAGTGACGCGATTGAACCCGAAGCGGGCTTTGCCACGCTGGCACGCGAGCGGATAAGCCGAACCGCGCTGGCTCACGAACCACGACGCGATTGAACCCGAAGCGGGCAACGAAGCGGCGGAGCGCTGGCAGCGTGGCACGCGTCGCGATTCTCGAATGGCGAAGCGACGTGACTTGACGCGTCAGGCAGTCGATGCGGGCAGCAGGACAGGGACCATTTTCGGATCAATTTGGGGTCATTTTCGGGTTCCTGGGTCAACTCGAACCCGACCCAATTTTTAAAACGGGTCAATTTATTGAACCTGAACCCGACCCGTTTTACAAACGGGTTGAACCAAACCCGGATTTTTCCGGGTGGGGTCCGGGTTGGGTAAAAAATTGACACCCCTATATGCACTATGTATATCCTTCACAAGTTAACCAACATCAGTAAAACGCTTGATATTTTATTCACGCCCTTCCTTTCTTTTGCTAATCAGCATTGCTCTCACTTGAAATGGATTTCGCTTCTCACTACCTTAGGTGCATTGGAGCTCTATCTTTCATGAGTTTCTTATTTGTTCATTTGCATTTGATCTTTCTCTTTGATATATCTTCTTAGAGTTGGATTACTGTTGGTGGTAGGGATGTAGGTGCTTTCCCCAACTCATCAGGATTCATTGAGCAGGACTAATTCATTTATTACATGTCATTATCCATCATTCATGGATGAACTATTGGCGATCGTCTGCATTTGTCATGATCCTTATGTTGACTTCAATTCACCTTCACATTTGTTGGATATTTCTTGTAAGTTGATTGTGCTTGTGGATTTGTTTGCCACATATTTATAAATCATGTTCATTGGTCCCTCATTAAATTCATCAATCTTAATAACACCTCAAGAGTTGATGCACTCATTGTTCATGAATGAGATGTTAGGGATTTCACATCACCTAAGTCCTTGCTCGCTTGCATGGGCTTTGAATGGCTCAAATTTCCCTTGCTTAACAATTGTATTTAAATTGAAATCAGAATTCTTTAATGCACATTGAAGACTTTGTATTGTTAAGCATGAGCATACTATTGTATTTCTCTATTTGATCCTTGCTTGAGTTCAAGTAGCAAGCTCAAGTTATAATTCAAGTTCTCATTTAGTTCTTTGAGTTCAATCAAATTTAGTCCCATATTTCCTTAATCAAGTTCAAGATGAGTTTAGGTTCATTCATCCTTTTGAGTTCAAAACACAAGTTCCAAGTCCAAAACATGTTTAAATAAAGTTCAGGCTCAATATGAGCCTCTGCAATTCTTCAAGTCCCCTGTAGTTCATTGTTACTTGTTTGGATTTAAGCTTGAGTTCATTTAAGTTCAAAGGTTCACAAGTTTGAGTACAAGTCCTTTGTGTCTTCAGTCTGAAGTTCGGCAGCCTCCCGGCGTCTCCCTTGTTTAGGGGAAAAATTCGAGAGACTAGCATTCCCCTCGTCGCTGCATGAGTGCTTCAGGTAAGTGTCAAATGACACCGCGGCCGCAAATTCTTTAATTCCCGCCCTCTACATGAGCGTTTAAGGGTCTTTGGCACCTTTTGTCCTCTCTTTTAGGGGACAAACCCCTACTTTTGTCCCCCTCACGCTACATGAGCAGTCTGGGGATTACCCACCTCGTCGCAATCGTCGTGCCGGTTTCCCTTCCTACTATGCTACGTGAACGTGTATGGGGTTTGTCGGCTCGTCGCAAGCCACGAAAGTAGGGTTTAAGTTAGAACTTTATACCTTGGGGACCGGCAGACCGGCGATGAGGGCACGGATCGAGGCCAAGGGAGGAGTAGATTTTTTTATTAATCTTAATTGATTATAAGTAATAATAATTTAATTTAAGTTATTATAATTAATTATCATTAACAATAATTAATTAAAAATGATTCTAATTAATTATGATTAATTAAATTAATCATAATTAGTTAGAATCATTTTAATTAATTATAATTAAAAATAACAAACTCATAATTAACTTAATTAATTATAATTAATTTAAAAAATCTCCCTCTCCTCTCTGGTTTGACGGATTCACTGGATTTGGCTGTAGAAGCTCGCGGGAGGGAGAAATTACCTTCACAGTGAATGGGTTTCCTCGTTGTCTCTGATCAAAATGTGGTAACTTCCGAGCCACAAGGGAAAGTCGTGAAAGGTATATTACCCACCCTAACAAGTACCCAAAATATCCCTTGTGATCTAAAATGGATTAGAAAACAAATTATGAATAACATGAAACAGTTTAAAAATTATGTGATCGGTAGATGGCTAGATGCCACTCTAATGTTAGGTGGCATCATGATCTCGAATTAATATTTTCACCCGTCGCTTACAGACCAAAGATAAAGCATTTCGATTTTTTATCCTATTTTGTTGAATGCTTGAACTCAAGATTCCATTGCTGAGGAAATTATTGTTTTTCGTTTTCTCGTGGCAGTTTGATCAGCGACAGAAATCAATGGGTCTACCAACTAGCGAGGAGTTGCAGAAGCAAGACATTCTTAAAAAGTTCATGGCTGAGGTGAATACAAATTTTATAATTTTCCTTGTAACTTTCGTATATGTGAGTCCAGCTTCATGACAACCTTAAAATATCTCTTCACAATATTGCATTTGGTTCATTTTTTTTTGCAGCATCCTGAGATGGATTTCTCAAATGCAAAAATAGCATGAAAAGCAGCAGGCTCATAATATTGCTGTTAGAGGCCGTGTATGATTGAGTTTTGTTTCTTTTTTGCATGGTGTATTCGCTTTCTTCGTTGGAAGATTTCTCTCCTCCGCCAGTCGCATGGAGAATTTATGGATTTCTATGGTTCTGACTAGTGTGATTAGTCAGGTCGTCGGAATTTCTCTAGTTGAACTGTAGCAGGTTTTGTTTAAGTATGTCTTATTTTGTATGATTATCATCTGTGGATGTAAAACAAACTTGACGCTGCTGCTTTTATGTTGTAATCTGAAACGTTTTTATATCAGACTTAACTATTCTTCCAAAACCTCACATAAATCAACAAAATGGTAAGGGAGCGATGTGGCTGAGGACCGCATGAGGCCAAGTCTCTTCAAATTTTGACGGAGTTTGTTATGGTTTGTTTATTGGATGGATTGATATGATTTGCTTTGGATTCAGTCTTTAAAAATATTGGTAGTTGTTATGGTGATATTGTCCAGTTTGTTGAACATGGAATTCAGATGGCCCAAAAATTATTTTTTTTAAAAAAAATTTGAAGTTCAAATATCTGCATCAAGATTTATGTTTTGAGTTTTTTTGGCACTCGAGTTTTACAAACAAACTTGTGCTTCCAAGTCTGACAAGAATACTGATAAAGCCTATGTTGGGCTGTGTTTAGACTAACCGATTTAAGTTCGTTAGTGTGAATAATTTCTAGCAAATCACTTTCTTCCAAGAGAAATTGATTTTTTATGATCTATCTCGGATCATGTTTCGTTATTGTTGTCATTCAAGATCTATCTTGGATCAAGTAGGCAACAGTGCTCTCTGGCTGGTAGCCGAAGATACATATATATATACATGCAGTTTTATGAGCAATGAATTAATAGATATATGTAAAGTAAGATTTAAATGTCTTTATATGAATTTACTTGCTTACGACCTCATATCTATTGGATCTACGTCATATTCTTCATGTGGAAGTACCTTTATGCTTCTTCAATGGGCTATTTTCTAGATAGATAGATATAGATGGCAGAGAGTTAATTTTCAAGGAAACATGCATTACATTTAAGGGAAAAAAATTTTCATTGCTTGCTTATAAACATGTATATTTATGTATTTATTGGTTTAGTAGCTTTCTAAAATCAATTAGAAATGTAGTGAATTTCACCTTTATATTTGCGAGACATTCCATAATATACCAAAATTTTTGTTGAATTTTGATAGTTAATACTTGCCGCATTCGTTATGTTCAACAATAGGATTGGTTGTATCCACTTCTATTGAAGAATGGCTTACGATAAATAAATAATAATAATTTTTTCAATCAAGGTTCTTATTTAGAGTAATATGCATCAATGTAAGTCTCAAATTAAAATAGGATGAAAGCCAATTTATAATCAAGTTTTGCTAAGATTTGAACTTGGATCGAATTTGTCTGTAAATTTAAAAAATAAGTTTGCTGTTTAAAAAAATCATTAAAAATTATTTTTTACAATAACTTAACAAATTTAATTTTTAATAACAATTTAAAAACAACATTAAGAAAGCCAATTCAAATGAAGTCTGATTATATTCATCTTTCTATTTATTTATTTTTTAACTTTTGAATAAACTAAAAATAAATTTACACACATCACATATCTGCAACATCAAGATCTCCATGTTAGTTGCTAACGCTTTCAAACAAATATCTCTTTGTTGGCTGCTAAAACTTTCAACTAGACATAAAATTGAGCTGCCTATGAATTTAATGAATACATTTAAATTTTAGGCATATGTTAATTTAATAAATGATGAGATATGGATATAGATTAGTTCTCAACGCGATATAAAGAGAGAGAGAGCTAGAGAGAGAGAGAGGGTCCGAGACGGTTTTCCTCTAGCATTAAAGATCGAAGAAACAGAGCCCAAAATATCTTCCGATCCAGTATCGAGATGAAGATGGCCTGCGTTGTTTCTAGATTTATGGCAGATTTCTGCCTCCTCTTGTTCCTCCTTGCTCTGACGCCTCTTTCCGAGGCCCTTCGCTTCGACGTGCAATCGGGTCAAACCAAGTGCATCTCCGAAGACATCAAATTGAACTCAATGGCCGTCGGCAAGTACTCAGTCATCAATCCATCCGAGAATCAGCCCCTCCCGGATTCCCACAAGCTCACCGTCAGGGTATCCCATTCCCATTCAATCCAAACTCACATGTCTCCCCTTTCCGCGGGAAACCCTAAATCCGCCTACCTTTTATTTTTATTTTTCGTTCTGTTTCAGGTCAGTTCTCCATACGGGAGTAGTATACACTACGCCGATCACGTCGATTCTGGTGATTTCGCTTTCACTTCATCAGAGGCTGGCGACTATCTGGCTTGCTTCTGGACGCTTGATCACAAGCCGCCTAATACCATCACTATCGAGTTTGATTGGAGAACTGGTGTGGCCGCTAAAGACTGGACATATGTCGCAAAAAAGGGCCAGATTGATGTGAGCACCGAACTCCTTTTTTATTTTTTAGGGTTTAGGTTCAAATGAGTTATTATGCTCTAAATTTTGTGGTATTATGATATTTGGCATTTGAAAAGGATTAAATAAATAATCCAGGACTTATCCGGTAATGTTAGGTTTAATTGAAGATGTGGGTTTGGGATTTTAATCAATTGTTTGCACTAATAAAAGATTTAATTCTTAATCCTGAAATTGAATCACTTCACATTAGAAGAAGTTTTGGCAGAATATGTAATCAGATTGGGTCTGATCGTATCTGAATCTCCAATCAATCTGGGATCATATTGTTTACGTTGAATGCTTCCAATCCTATGAATAACATGCTTATGGATGGTTATGGCATGACTAGACCACTTTCTGTTTTGTATGTAGATGTTTTTCTTACCTCTTACTAACGTGAACTGCTGATACTTATAAAACATGGTTATATGATTATTTGATGGCTTTTAGGACTCGGTTCATGGATATTTTGTGGAACTGTAAAAGATGACACATTTGACCATGTTTGATTTTGAATTTATGATCAAATATTCCATTGGGTATGCCATTATCATCATCATTAGTCATACTCATCATTTTCAGGCATCTTGTTGAATATTATTTCTTCATTCATTCTTGTCAATTGCTAGATGAGGGGTTAACTCTATTTTGTGTAACTTTTTGCACAACTTCTAGCTAAACTACTTATAATCCAACCTTTTTCATTCATAATTCTATAACAATTCTTTTTATTTATTTTATTGGTTTATTCTCTACTATCTACCCTTTGTTCTACGTAAAAAGGTTGGGGTAACTCCAGTGGAAGATAATATTAGAGAGAGTCGCCTTAGATGGTTTGGTCACATAAAATTGCGGCCTTTTGATGACCTAAAATGACTTGGTTAGAAAATATTAGAAATGACATTTCTTTATTATATTTAGATGATATTATGATAATTTGACTTTTAACAGGACACAATGGAGAAAAAATGATTAATGTAGCCGACCCCACACAGTGGGATAAAGGCTTGTTGTTGTTGTACTATCTTTTCTACTTCATTGTTCATCTAATATACTCATTTCTCATCGTTAAAAAATTAAAAAGTTATAGTAATACATTTAAACCTTGGCAAGTGGTACTTCAAGAAGTCTGCTTTCTTTAGAAATATTTCTGTTTATGTTTTCCTTGTAGACATGCATGCAAATGTTTTATAATTATTTCTTTGCTGATTTGAGGTAGTTCTTAATTCTGAAATAGAATTATTTTAGATTAAAATAGATGTAGATTGCTTGATTGGGGCAATTTATTAAAATGGGTTTGAACTCGCCTGGATTAATGTCCAATTATAATTGTTTGCTTTTGATTGTGTTCTTATTTGGAGGATTCGACAATCTTGGACAATTAATGCTAGACTTGACCTTTTATTTTTAAATATTCTCTGGTGGTACTTCTTCATTTTAACCATCCAATATTAATTTAAGAAGTTATATCATCATTCACATCTCCTCTCTTTCATATAATTTAAGTCTATCATACTTGGGTGTTATTGTATCATCTAGTAATGTTGAAGGATAATTGTTAATATATAATATATCATATTTGTAGTCTTGTTCTATAAATCCTGAACTTTTTATCTTTTAAATATTTTCTCTATTGGTATAACATTCTGCTTATTTTAGTAAAGCCTTATAAATTAGAGTGGCCATATGCGAAAAATGATAATTAAGATTGCTCATATAACTTCTTCATAACTAAAAAAAATGAAATAGATTTTTTTTTTGCAATTCTATTGCAATTTTTAACTCTTTCCTCAGTTCATAACCTCTAATTACTAGTCAATGCTTCATCACATTATCTTTAATAACTTAAATGTACTTTTTATGTAGAATTTTATTTCTTAATATGCGCCTAATAACTTCTCATGGCTCTCAATGCATGCTTTATAGAGGGCAATAAATCATTCATTGAAGATCCTTTCTTTGTTCTTTATATTTTTTTATCAAATGTCTTTGGATAAAAATTGCTTTCAAAGAAGGTCTTTCTATCATAAAATTAAATTGATTCTTCTATGCTATATCTTTCATTATTTTTTCCCATAATTTTATTTTATGAATAATGAAATATGATTCCTTTATAAAATTCTTAAATATCTCCTTTGTTCTTAAATATTGGTACCAAAAATTCTCCAATCATTTTGGGATCTTCTTAGTCTTCAAAGGTTTCTTAACTAAATCATTGCAATATCATCCATAATTTCCTAACTATGATTATCTTCCTTTTATGTATCTTCTTTAGTGCTAACTCTTTTTTGTTTTCTTATTTTTTTGGAGTCATTCTTTAATATACTTTATTACTCTATATTTTTTTTACTGTTACCTCAGTTGATTGGCTTGGTAGGATTGTGGGAAGAACATGTGGTTTGGCCATTGGACCAGCTCAAGTTGAAGCAATTCATAAATTTTAAGCATGTGCTTTATCGTTCCTTTTACAATGCCAAGATTTCATAGTAAATAATCATGTACTACTTGAACTCATAATAGCAAGTGCACCCTTTGAACCTGAGCTTGGCTATAATCATGACAGTTTGAGCCTTTAGTATCAAATATGTACTGCTAGGATCTGAGCTACTGTGCTGAGCATGTTTGTGCCTAGGTAATCAAGCATGCTTAAGCTTGACTTAAGCATGTGGCAATATGTGGCAATGCTACGCAGCTCTGCTTCCTGGCACGCCTATATTTCACCAAAACCAAGGCACAGAGGTATGTGATTGTAAAATTTAGACATGCTTGTTAAGGAGCCAAAGGAAGCAACTAAGATTTTGATAAAGCATGTAACAATCTAATACAGACATGCATAGACTGGCATGCATGAGTTGGTCACATCTGCCCTGTTCGAAATTATGAGATTATTATTTGTCCTAATTTGAAAGAAATATAGAAGAGTGTCCTCAAACTTTGATGGACAAAAGCAGTGATCGAAAGCATAACAAAGGGACACAGTACTACCCATATGTAAATTTGCCAATAAAGAATGGGATGTGATTTTAGTGCCAAAAAATGAGATTTTTTTTAAGCACTGTAAAAGCGCATGTCCTTCGGCCTTTACCTTTCTTTGCCCGCCATTGAGTGAAGTGAGCTTGCGTATTATGCTAGGAATTAATTGTGATATTTTTTTTTAAAGCATAACCTTCATATAAACAATACAAAGGTGGGCATTTGCATTTTATTTGATGAGCAAGATGTGGTTTACTTGAGCAGCTTAGAGCTGAATATGTTGAACTTTTTTAAAATTAGCACTTAAGCTGTGAATTGTTGTTGAGTCTAATAGGTCATATCATATTGCCTTTACCTTTCAAAAGAGGATAGGTTCAAATACTTTCAAGAAAAAAAAAAAAAAACCTTGAATTGCAAGTTCCATAAAAGAACTCCTGTAACCAAGTTTCTTTGAACATTTTTTTGTCAAAATGATGAAAATAATTGTCAACAGCTTCGTTTTAGTGATGAAATCTTTTTAAGTTTATCACCTGTGGAGTTTTTCATCTTGGAATATGAATTGCTAATATCAGCAGCAAGTCTTTTGACCTTGATTGTGTTCTGTTGAAAAGCTGTGGTCTTTCTTTCTTTATTTATCCCTATGAAAGAACACATTACATGCCTGTGTCTAAACCATTTTGAACATGGTCAAAGCACTTTTTTCTTATACCCACGTTTATATAAAATTTGCCTTATTTCAGAAGCCGCATTTGATTTTGTTTCTAATTTTGCTGGTATTTGGATTTTCCTTCATATACATTCACATTTTTAAAAACCCTTTGGTTTGTTCCATCATGTTTGGCTTACACTTCATGTAGGCCCTTTCATTAACATAATGTATATTGAGCAGACAAAGATATCTCTCTATTTTCCCATCTATTTCTCCATTCTTATGCTCCAATAATTGCCTTGTCTCTCTTACTCCTAGTGAGGTTATCTCTAATGATCTCCGATTATTTTTTATGCTAATTTTTTTGTGTAATTGTAACTTTGAGCAATTAAGTCATTAATAAGAGTACATGTTTTAGATATATTGGGTCTATTGTTCAAAGTGATGGTGAAATAGATGGAGATATTATTATTAGATATCAAGTTGGATGGTTGAAGTGGAGGAATGCATCAAGCTTGTTGTATGATAGAAAAGTACCCTCAAACTTGAGAGAAAATTCTATGAGATGGTGGTGAGACTTGTAATGCTGTATGGTGCAGAATGTTGGCCAATATAATAGAAGCATCAAATTTTAAAGTGTTGTAGAGATGAGGATGCTCTAGTGGATGAGTGGTTTCACTCTTAGAGATAGAATGCGAAACGATTATATAGGTAAAAAGATTGCAGTAGCCCCAATGGCAAATAAGATTAGGGAGAGTTGCCTTAGATGGTTTGGGCGCATAAAATGTCGACCTTTCAATGGCCTGGTTAGGAGAGTAGATGTATTGGATATGACTTATGTTTAGAAAGGCAGAGGTAAACCAAAAAAGACTTGGCTAAAAAATATTAGGATTGATATTTTTTTTTATTAAATTTAAATGAGAATTTGACTCTTAACTATACACGATGGAGAAAAAAGTATTCATGTAGCTGACCCTATGTAGTGGGATAAAAGCTTGTTGTTGTTGTCCTAATAATAGGAAAAGAAAAATCTTTGATTCATGCTCTTCAAAAGATGTTTACAAGGTAAAGGTATGTTTAATAATTATATGAAAGATGCAAATCAATTATCTATTGGAGGGTGATTTTGTGTTGTGCTTTTAAAATTCAATTGCTAAACACCACTATTTAAAGTTAATGGTGAATTCAAAAGTCAATATTCAGAGAGAAGAGACATTAAATCAAAGTTTTACCATTATAATAGCCATTGCTTTTGAATTGTAAGATGTTGGATGCATTCCCTTTGGTCGGATACATGGATTTTACACTTATTGAGGCAATGTCGTTTTGTTGTGCTTGTGCATTTGGCTTCGACTTT